GCAAAATTCACAGAATGCTCAGTAGGTCTACGGAGCATTCGACGTATGCTAAGTTCATTCGGCAGATACATCCATTCTTTTAGATATGTAGTCGATCCCATACTCGAAGATTGGGTCCAGGCCCTCTCATCGAATAAGCTAGCACAGCACAAGCATGTCAATTCTGGAGGGAAGGCGCTTGAAAATGATGGGGTCTGGGATCCAAGAGTACCTACTTTCAACGACCAGCGTGTATTGCTACCGCAAGGACCGCTGAATAGAGACGAAGTCGATCCTTGGCCCCCAGAAGCGCCTGCGTGCACGAGGAGCGCTGGAGAAGCAGCCATTGGTCGGTCAGGCCGCCCCCGATCCTCCCAGAGATCCCGCACTCGTGGGCACGAATCGGGGCTGGCGTTTCCCGGTCGAGCAGAAGATCGGGTCGCCGCTAGACCGAGACAGGCACGGCCCGTCCCAGATGCCCCACCCCCCACCCCCCGTGCCGAATACACGCCGGTCGGAAGAAGCGGGTAGAGACATGAAGCAGGAAGGCGTTGGAAGTAGACTAGGCTGCCGCCCGCCCCCTGAAGAGGAAGCAAGAAGGAAACCAGTCGATCCTTGGAGTTTGGAGGCGCCTACAGCGGATGGGGACCTGGGAATCCCAAAATACCAACGTTCAACGACCAGCGCGTACCTAGAGGCCTCCTAGACGGGGTCGGAGCCGATGGGGTCGGAGGATCACGCCGCATCGCCGATACATCGGCGATGCATCGGCGATGCCTCGGCGATGCACCGGCGATGCATCGTCGACGGCGGCGATGCATCGGCGACGTCAACTTGAAGCAAATCGGGCTGCACATCGAGCCGCATCGGCGATGCATCGGCGATGCGGCGAGCTCCCCCCGCCCCATGTACTCCGACCATATCTGGGAGGCCTGGAAGGAGGAGCATCGGATCTCTGGGGGGGAGGAGAAACAGGAGGAGGAGGAGCAGTAGGAGAAGGAGGAGGAGGAGCAGGAGGAGAAGGAGGAGGAGAAGGAGGAGGAGGAGCGGAGGAGGCGGAGGAGGAGGAGGCGGCCAGGGGCGCAGGAGGCGAGGGCACTGCTGCTGCTCGTGGGGGCAGCCCTCGCCACGGCGAGGCCGCAGCCCACGGAGGGATCCCCGCCCCAGCTTTCGGTCGGGCCTGTCCTCCTACAGGCAGATTCTGGAAGAAAAACGAAAATAGCCACAAAACATCAAACAATAGCCAAACAACAATCAGAACGAGCTACAACATATCTAACCTTATCAAAGAAAACGAAAAAGAGTCACAACATATCTTGAATACTTAAAAATACTCTAGCCATCGTCCCCGGACTATTGTTTGACTCTTCTTGAAGATTCCTCCTGCAGGGGGGGGGGGGGGGGGGCACGCCCGCCTTGGACCTAGCGCTGAGAAGTGGCCCAGGAATCATGTAATCACAGGCGGCGCGCCCCAGGGGGGAAGTGGGAAGGGGCGGGCCTTCTCAGAAGGATCGGAAGTCCCCCGGCCTTTCGAGAAATGGTCTAACCTTTTTTCCCGAAGACACAGAAGACTTCTCAGAAGGCTCGGGGGCTCCTGAGAAGCCCCGCCGCCTCCGCGCGGATGTCTTGGATCTGCGCTGGACCCCCCTCCCTGGCGCGCGGAGCGCGCCAGGGGCGGCGCCGGAATCGCCGACGGGGAGGGCACAGCGTGGATCCCAGAAATCCTTTTTTTGTAACTGGGGGGGTCTGGTTTATTAGGGCGCTTTCTTTGGATTGGAGCTTGAGGGGGTCTGGTTTATGACGGCGCCCCGTCGAAGAGGGGAGTCCAGAATATTAGGTCGCATTTGGAGAGGGTCTGGTTTTTAGGGGGATCGATTAATAAGGGATTTGGAGTGCCCTCCCCAAGAAGCGCAAAAGGGTACCTTCCCTGAGCCGACCTCGATCCTATGCCGCGGTCCAACCGTAGGAAAAACGCCTCGTACTGAAAACGGCACACGTCGTTGGAGATCCGAGCCCCTCCACCGCTCCCTCCCGGAGACAAGATCTGCGACGACATCGACGACGACGACGAAAACGACGACGACGACAACAATCACGACCACGACGACGACGACGACGACGACGACGACGACGACGACGACGACGACGACGACGACGACGACGACGACGACGACGACGACATCGACGACGACATCGACGACGACGACGACAACGACGACGACGACCCCGACGACGACGGCGGCGACGAGGCGGCGACGGCGGCGGCGGCGGTCTGGAGCCATCTGCCCTTGGGCAGGTGGCTGACGGCTGCAGCCGCCGGCCGCAGCCGCGCGCCCCCGGAGCTGCCCGCCGCGCCGCCGCCGCGCGCGGCAGGGGGGGAGCTGGGCGGGGCCGAGACTGCTGCGGAAGCGGATCCCAAACACCTCCGACGATGGGGGCGCGAAGGAACGGGGGGCGATGAATGGGTGGGGGGAGCAAGGGCCCCAAAGGCCCCCCCTGCTGGGGGCCGAAGAGGCTCCTTGAGGGGCCCCAACAGGGCCCCTGGTCGTCAGCTCTCGCCCTCCGCCGCACGCTCGTGGTGATGTTACCACGCAACATGAGAAGATGGCAACTTCGACTCGCAACTTTCCCCCGCGACGAGGACGTTCGCCCTTGGCGCCCCTCTCGCCCGACCAGCCCTGTCTTGGCCGGAGAGGGTCAACTCTCAGGGGGGCAGCAGGGTATGAGTAGTTATCTGGGGCTCTCGGTCACGCGCCCCCCCCCCCCACGACGCCATGAGCATCTGGATCCGGGCAGCTTGGGCTTCGCGGGCGGCCCCGATGGGGCCATCCATCGTCAGCGGGCCCCGATGGGCCATCAGACTCGGATTCTGGGGCGCAGAGCTGGCCAGCGAGGGGAAGGGACGCCGGAAGCCCCAGGGCCGCCGCGCGGACTGGGAAAAAACAACGCATCGCCGGGAGAAGGGTGGCCTGGCCCGTAGGCCCTCTTCTTTGCCCGCTGCTGTCACCGTTCCTGGCTCTGGCGCTCCTGGGCCCGCCGTCCCAAGCGAACCGCTGACCAGACACAGCTGCAAGGGCAGGGTCGTGGCAGACTCGCACATCGCCCCCAGCCCTGTTTCGGTCTCAGTGCAGAAGGCGGTGGAGATAAGCTTCCCTTGCATAGGAGGAGGAGGAGGAGGAGGAGGAGGAGGAGGGAGGGAGGAGGGAGGGAGGAGGAGGAGGAGGAGGAGGGAGGAGGAGGAGGAGGCGGAGGAGGAGGAGCGAGCAGGTTTTGCAGAGTTCAGTGGGGGGGGGGCCATCGCGTGCTGGAGGTTGACTTGGTGGACACCATGACGCCGAAGCGGTGGCGACAAAACAATCCGCGTGATGCCGTCTCCAGAGCCCTCCTGTGTTGGGCCATCGCTTCAGGAGGAGGAGGAGGAGGAGGAGGAGGAGGAGGAGGAAGAGGAGGAGGAGCAGGAGCAGGAGCAGGAGGAGGAGCAGGAGGAGGAGCTCCCCGCCTGTCCGCACCGCCTGCCTCCCGCGTCGATGCCCCCGGTCGCTGCCTCCATCCCCAGGGCGCTGCATGGCGTGGGGCCGTGCCCCCCCCCTTCCTCTGCGCCCACGGAGGCCGCGCCGGAGCGGTGGGCGGCCCACCGTGGGCCGCGCGGGCCCAGTGACAGCCAGGTCGGGCACGTGGGGGGGGGGGGGGGGACGCTGCTTAATGCTCCCCTCGTGTTTGATCGACCTCCTCCAGGATGGCCCCAAGGAGCGCCCAGGAGGCCCCAAGAGGTCCCACGATGGCCCCAAGATGGCCCCAAGAGGCCCCCAAGAGGCCCCCAGGAGGCCCCCAAGAGACCCTCCTGCAGGCGGGTCTTGGGAAGAAAATATGTAAAAGCAGCGGCATCACTGCCACACATTCTCCAAAGAGCGCGGGAGGTCGTCGCCAGACCATGCTTGCGCTAGTCTCGAATACTGCCCAGACCCCCGACGTCATAATTTTTTCATGACGCGACTCCCAGAGGTCCCGACCCGTTCCCCGGGACCGGCTTTTCATCCTGAGTCGTTGTCTGACGGTCCCGAGGCCCGGCGAGGGCCCCCAAAGGCCGAAAATGGCGAAAAACCTCCCGTCGTGATTTTTGTTTCATGGCCCGAGGGGGTCTGGGTCCTCCTGCAGATGGACGTGCCCGACTCAAAAATTTTACGGCCGCCGCGCTCGAGGAGCGCCGGCTGTCCAGAAGACGTGGCCTGTCCGGCCACGACGCGCCAAGGCCCCAACGAAGCGCCTCGAGGCTCGGACCTCGGGCGCGGCAGGCCCGCACGCGCGCGCGACGGGCGGCGCGCGCGGCCGCCAGCAGCCACGGGGCGGCCGCGGGCGCGGGCGCCTTCGGCCGCGGCGGGGTGTCCGCGGCCGCCAGCGCGGCGCCCGCGGCGGGGGCCGCCGGGCTCGCCGCCGCGCGGAGGCTGCCGAGCGCCAGCTTGGGCACACCGAGGGGGGCGGGAGGAGGAGGAGGAGGAGGAGGAGGAGGAGGAGGAGGAGGAGGAAGGAGGATAAGGAGGAGGGGGGAGGAGGGAGGAGGAGGAGGAAGGAGGAGGGGAGGAGGAGGAGGAGGAGGGGGGAGGGAGGAGGAGGAGGGGAGGAGGGAGGAGAGGAGGAGGAGGGGAAATCCCTTCTCCTCCTCCACGTCCTCTGTGGGAGGAAAAGGCTTGTTCTGCCTATTCTGTCTCTTCCAGACCCCCTCGGGTCTTGAAAAAATCACGACGGGAGGTGTTCTCTATTTTCGGCCTCTGGGGGCCCTTGCTGGGCCTTGGGACCGTCAAGAAACGACTCGGGATGAAGAACCGGTTCCGGGGAATGGGTCCAGACCTCTGGGGGTCGCGTCATGAAAAATCATGTCGGGGTCTGGCGTCTGTGTGTTCTTCCATTTTGCGCTTGGCACCATGGCCCCTCTCTCTTTCTCTCGGGCGCACCGAGGGGGCGGGAGGAAGAGATTTGTTATGTGTGTTGCCTCTTTGCGCTTGGCACGATGACCCTTTTCTCTA